ATACCATTTCGGGCGCAGCCAAGGTAACTTTCAAAATTCGTGGCCCGCTACCTTGGTAGTTTGTGGAAGCAATTAGACGGGTGACGTCAAAAGCCACGACATTCTTCATGTCGTATAGTTCTGCGATGTACCGCCATTCTTCGATGTCGTGCTTCTGTCGTTCACTGCTATCGTCATGCTTCAATTCTGGCACACCATGAACCAGTACCACTTTCTTCATCTCATTTTGACGTGACGAACTAGGGTTGGATTTATGCTTCTGTCTTTCTGCCCATGGCCTGTCAGGAAAAATGCGGGCACTGACAGAAGATTTCACTAGCATGTGGCTTGCTAAGAGAACATCTTCCAGGTCACGCGTGTTGCCAAACGTTACTCGCAGTAACCGAGGTTCCCCTAAGTGTGGAGATGATGGATTTCGTGAAAGGCGAGTAAGACTAGTTGGGAGAACTTTCAGTCCGAGTGCGCAGGTTATTTCAGCCCACCGGTTTTGCTCCTCGGCTTGTCTACCTTTTAGCGACTCGCTAGTGGGTTCTGGGACGTTTGAACATATTACTGTCATCGCCTTTTGGTTGCGTAGTAATTGTTTGTTCTGCAGTTCCTTGTGAGCGTAGGTTTGTCGAGTGGGGGTGTCTGGCTTGTCTTCCGTGGACAATAAGCCAAGGCTACAGCAAGAATTTTTACATGCAACGCCGTTAGTTGCGCTATCTGTAGGGGTCAACTGTTGTTGACCAGCTACTGACGGAGGTGAGCATGCAATTTGTGCGTAACTCTGCATGCTTTGGCGCATTACGTGCGACTTGGGGTACCGTTCAAGCGGCCTGTTTTCACTGCTGTTTTTCACTAACGGTGTTTGCCTTTCGCTGGACTGGGTAGCATTGTTGCTAGAGAGCTTTTGCCTTTTAACAGGTCGGGGATTCGGGCTACGTAATGCACTAATCGGCACGGTGTAAGTCAAGAAAGGCACTCAGACACCTCTGTCTTGGCTGCATGTCCACAACCTGACAACCATCCTCCTTAGTCAGGTTATCAAGCCCTTCCTCCAAAGAAGCATTAGACTGATGGTCGAAGTGTACGTCGAGCTCGGTAGTTTTGCTGCAAGCGTTTCATCACCCTTCGAGGTGACATCATCAGTGCGCAGGTATGTAGCGCAGTGGAGCAACGCTATGCGACGCGTTAGTGAAAGAGAGCGGAGGTACCGAGCGGATGTACCGTCACTCCGAGTTCTAATTGCACGACGAGCACATAACCACAGAAATTGGTTCCTCTTATTCATACATCGTTACGTTAGCATTCGTGACTTTGCGGTTGACCTCGTCGTCTGACGTACATCTTCGGCATTCTGTTTCGTCCGATGTAGTTGATTAAGTTAGTTGTCTTTCATGCGTAGTGCCGCGTAGATAGCATCTACTTCAAACTGTCCGTTGATTGAATTGACTGTAAGCTACCAAGCTTCCAGGAGTTCTCTAGTGTGTTTCGATTTTCACATGCTGGGATGTCTATGTGCCCTAAGATGAAGTGAGGGGCTTCCTGATCCTCATGTATAAAAAATAAGGAATGTGGGTCATATATGCTTTTGGCCATTTTGTGTCCAGTGATCCGTGTTGACAGCTCTCGTCCAGTTTGTCCGATGTATTGTTTGTCACATTCTTTGCAGTTTAGTTTGTAGATGACATTGTTCTGACTTCGACTTTGTCTTCCGGTCTTGAAAACAATCCTCTCAAGGTAGCATTTAGTTTGTGAGCTACTGTACATAACTAAAATACAACTTCGGTTTTTTTTCTTTCGAGCTAACCTGAGCTCATAGCGATATTTAACTCGTCTCAGCAAGTTAAATGTTCCGGTATCGTTCATAGTGTAGCCATTGTCTAAAGCTCGCGGATTCCTGGAACTAATTTCCACCATGCAATATCACTGCAAAGCATCCCAGCAATTCCCAGTCGTCACCAGCGGGGTTATTCCTGTTTATCTGGGGCGCAATGGGGCGAATTTGTAATCTGTGGGCGCCGGTTCGAGCCTGTGTAGGGGACTGAGCGACACTCGCAGTACCCTCAGTCAACGCGCAGCTGTCGGTAGTTACGCTGCAGCGAAGTATCCGTACTGGTTACCGGCGTTTTGCCGATACCTTTTCTTTTATCAAAGGGGCAAACCCATCCAGCAAATGTACGAGGCTATACTTAACCATACCCCGTCTTTGTTCTAATGTGGCCTGTTCTTGAGCAGGAACCAAATGAAGCCGAAGATCCTGTTTTGCAAATGGCTAATATCGATCTGACCAAACTTTCTCCCAAGTCGAGGTTTCAATGGTAGCTTCTGCACATTCAGCGAAATGTTAAGAATACGTTGAGCGCGCCTGCTTATGGGGGCCACAGTATGCATCTCTGTCACACGGCTATGTCGAGTGAACACGATATCTGAACTTGAGGTGGTATTCCTAATGTGTACCTATTGGGAAAGTCGCTACTCTTTGGACAATTGGTTGGGACCCACAGTAGACTGTTCCGGAAGTAAAACGTGCTGCGGTCACTTTTAAAGCCCTGTGATTCATCTTTTTCTTGGTCAACTGGGGTTTAGTGTTGAACGCCATTCGAGGTAGTTCTGAGGGAAGATCCTTACACGACTTACACCACGTTGCAACTGCGTTCTCCTTCATGTACTTGGATCTGAACGCACGCTAGGGAAATCTTCGATAGTTTGATAATGAGAGTAGCCCAAAGATCGAGCTGGCAATCACGTGATCGAGTGGACACCTGACTAATATAGCGCAGTTCCTCCCCGTCATATGTTTGAGCTATATAGACAAAGACCGATTTTTCGTTCTGCAACTGGTAGTGGTCTTCCATATTCTGTTTTCTCCGCTGACTCTCGCTCCAATTTATTTTGGGAAATATGAGAACATCACATGTGACCGTTTGATGACAGGTGTTTGACAGAAGAACCGTCAGTTCCACATCTGCTGATTATAGCGTTCCCCGTAGAAACCGTGGTACCCCATAGTGGGCCGAGTTTGGGTGCCTTACGATGCGTACCATGTTCGCCGGCTTAGCATGAATGTCTAGCAAAAGGTATATAGTGTTTCATTGTTTTCGGTCGTCCATTAGCTCAACATTACGGTTCGACTGCAAGGCTTTGTTTACGAGACAATCTCAACCAGTCTATTAAACCTGTTGACGAATTCCATCTCGGCGACCTACGGAGGATCTTCAATAATAAAGAACCAGACTGTCGCACTGACAAGGTGAAACACGTGATCGTAGTGAAGTAATATTGTTCTCAATATGACATCTGGTGTACCGGATGAAGGTGAAATTCATGACTGTGTCCCATTTGGCCCAAAAACCAGCTTGCGGTTAGCGCGTCAATCATATACTGCCAACTGGCGATGCAGTTATGATCCGTGTCCTTCCTGGATGCGGTTTCTCTTTAGCACGAAGAATACATATGTTACAAGGGCCATTACAGATGGGATGTTAGTTGCTCTGAGGCTGCTCGTGGGTGAACTAATTAGATGCAAAGTAAAACTGACACTGAGCCCTTGCGGATCGGCCTCACCGATCGTGGTAAGAATTTCCAAACGACGCAAGCCGAAATCACACATGAGAATGATGTAAGTGTATTTTCGCCGTCGAGCATTCAGTATGTAGCAAACCGTTTCCGGCGTAAATACCGTGAGAATGCACACCAAAGCTAAAAGGCAGGCATCTCTACTTCCTGGCTATACGCGGCCCTAGAGAGTCAGGAACTGACATATATGGATTTTCTATAGTCTTACACTATGGTTCGTTACGGCAGTACAGTTTACCAAGACCGCTTTTAGGGGTGTCACTTCTGATGAGCCCCGTGCACCGTTCAACCAGCTTGCAACCCTGTCACAGTAGTGTTGATGGAAGTACAACTTGGAGAAATAGCCGACCCTCGGCTTGGTCATCTTATTAGAACATTCTTGGTACTCTGTGTACAAACAGACGAATTTCTCGTTCTATTGAACACTAGGGGAAATAGATGTGAGAATATGTCAATCGGTGAAAGGTTGCTTACTACTCATTCTATGATGCGGTTCTAATATCTAGCCTGTAGTCTCAGTTAGCCAGGATGTATGTATTTCATCGAATAGAATAGACTCAATGTGGAGCGAACTTATGGCCAAATGAAGCTGGTGTCTAGTATATTATTACTATTCAACACCTGACCAATATTCAATCGGCAGTGCCACAACACATAGTTAATAACAACAAGAACAACCAGAAGAAGAAGAAGGGGAAACAGGTAGAAAATAAAAAAGCTTGGAAGATTTACAAGGTCAGTGTGTTGTGCGGGCAGAGATCTTCCCGGTTGCCCAGGCCGAGGAAGAGGGTTGACTTAAGGGACCCTACCGCGAGCCTTGGGTCATAAAGACTTGACCCGTAAGGCACCGGGACGGTTAAGGGAGACAATTGATATCACCGGTTGACAAACCTACGCAGATGCTCATATATTTGGTCTTTATCAGCACCTGCAGTCTTGGTCCGGGATTCAGATAGAAGGATTTTTCCGAATCCCGTGCCAATCTTCAAAACATCTGTTGACGGCTCTTTGAATTGGACCGCAAGTTTCAACGCTTTTGAATGACATTCCTTATGGTTATATGAAACCGGTAGTTTTTGATAGCAAAAGAAATTGGATAATGCCATCTAAGGAAAGCGTCTCACGGATGAACTACCGCGTTCTTGACGAATGAGGCGTCACAAGGATGGAGATTGCACTTCGCCTTCTAACCTAATTCTTCAGAAGTGCCTGTTGTTGAACATCGACCACTCCAAAAAATATCAGCGAAGATCCGTATACCGCAGATGTTATCGAGTGAAAAGCTCCCTACATTGACGAAAAATTTTAAACCCATCTTGTCTTTGCTGAATCATAGCCGTGTCGTGTAAGCATCTGAACAACTAACTAGCTTGATGCTTTTCTGAGTTTGCATCGACTGTCCACACCGGTCGGACAAACGGTATGGTTTCAGCTGTCTCATGGACGCGGATAGTGCAGTGGTTATCACCATGCGTCACGCATGCACAAAGGTAGGTAAAATTACAAGGGCGACATGCTATTGTACAGGTCGGATTTGGACAGTGGTTATGACTCCTCGTAATAGCAATGCGCATGATAGATTGTGGTGCAAAATGTGTGTCGAATAAGTGGCCCGCTACGATTACGTGTAAGGGTGCAAGATGCTGACATTATGCTAACCTGACAGCCGTTAAAGTGCTATTGAGTGGAACCATGTAGCCACTGTGATGGGGGTCAAAAAGAACAGGGTCGCGGTTTCGGGTCTTCGTGCGAATCTGCCGAAATGCTGTTTTCGATGAAGTCGCGTCGTTGAACTTAATCTCAGATAAATACCGTTGGATAGATCTAGGCGATTTAACTTGATTGAGCGTCATTTCAAACAGAAAACAGCAATAACAAAAGAGCAAGGAACAATGAATCCGGGAGCTACGTCACCCTCCGGCGGGTGCTGTATCGGAAGTTAGTGCTCGTAAAAAATAAGTGGGCATCTTCACAGAAATGAAGTAGCCGCTCACCATTATCATTAAGGGAGTCTACACCGTGTTGACCGCCCAGATGCAGTTCATCAGTGGGCAACTTTCCAACTTTGCGTTCAGATCCCCAGCCGGCACAACAGTGTCAGAGCTTCTTCTGTGGCGAAGGAGGGCGGTCAGTTGGCGGTAGAAGTCGTCTTTTACCGAATCATCGCTAGAGTTTGTGGGCGCGTAGGCAGCGATGACGAATAGACACCTATTAGTCCCGTGCGACTTCGAAGTTCTGAAAGAGCCAACCAATCGGACCACACACCCGAGTACTGATTGGGATCGAATCAACCAGAGCAGCTTCAGCCCGGGGACTCAGAGTAATGTCAACATTAGCTTGGCCGGTGCTTGAAGCTGCATCGTCACCGGATAGGCGCAATGAGAAAGTGCTGCTGGTATCACCTGAAAGGGATAGCAGAGTGAGCACAGAGCTCGAGTATTGCAGACGGGTCTTTGACAAGCAGCAGATTTAGATGGAGAGGGTCTCTAAAGTTGGGGCAAGTGCTGCCTGTTGACCGAGCTGTAGCAATGTGTGTACATTGAAGCATGCCAATCTGAAGGTGGATCGAGGGCTACAAATAAAATCCGATGAAGTGGGGTGGACCGGTTGGTTGGATATGAGCTTGTCCACAAGACAGAAGTGATGCTCCGCGTTAGCATGTGAGTTGAAATTAGAAGGTAAAATCCTAGCAAAGCAAGGTGGGGGAGGGCCAAGAATTGGAGAGTTGAAAACTGGGGGGATAAGAGTGAGGCTGGAACGGGACGGAAAGGGAGAAAACGCGTAAGATGGGGAATAAGAAGACGAGAAGGCTTGAGCAGTAGCATCCAAACCCCTATCCACCTTGCTCGATGGAGCTGATAGGGCGTCGTTTATTATCCTCTGCGGTGACCAGAGCATCAAGAAATTGTTGTAGGAAAGGTTCATTGTATTGCGTGGGCAGGATACTGTCAGGTTGCCCAGGCCTAGACAGGAGAACGATTAGGATTTTCAATCAAAGCCTTTGGTTCAAAAACCTGACCGCAAGGCAGCGGGTTTGGCGCTGTCACAAGGAGCCCGTTTTAAGGAATAAGAAACCATTCTAATTCCAACCCTAACCTGGAGGACCAGAAGGCTGACATTGTCTGGCATCTAACCATTGACCAATCTGGTATGAGTGACTCTGAAGGTGTAAAAAAGCACCACCCAGCATAGCTCAATGGATCTCTGACGCACGCAAATCATCGCACCACGGTAAGGTCCAGGCTCATTGGGATGGGCATGCAAGAGTAGAGTGAACAGCAAAATATGAACTGCTAAGTGGAAGAGCACAACACCAGATGGACGTGCGGTTCCACAGAACAAGCTGAGAGTAACGAGTTGCGTCTCAGAGCAAATGAATAACTTTGGTTACATTGAATAACGAAACATATTTATTTCCACCAGTTGGACAGCATTTATGGATACAGATGAAATGCATTTCCGTTCCCATTGACATTTAGGTGCAACTGGCTGAGGTTGCGGCGGTCAGAAGTTGCACGGCGTCAGTGAACCTGCTGGTGTGCCATTTCGCCATCGACAAAGAGGCGTTACCATACAGGAACGATCAAGGGATCCCATGTAAACCGTTAACCGAACGTGGGACTGGTATCGAGCCACAGTGGATTGTGGAATTGAAAGAGAAGGCGGAGTACAAAGACACACATGTGTGCTTCAAACCGGAGGTATTTTACGCCTATACTGGTAAGTAAGCATTAGTTTATCGCTCTAATTTGTCCTTACAATGCCGCTGAAGAAACACCGCGTTTAGGTGGGTACTGAACCGGGTATTGTAAAAAGCACGGATGTGACGGCCTCGTGAAAAACAGGTGAAATTACTGTAGATGACTTAACGTGAGTCGCGCTCAGTTACTCAGTACTGAGCAGTCAATGTCGTAAAGCTTCGCACAAAGCCGAGTGCGTGATGTGATAAAACAAGCAGTGTAGGCATCGAGTGCTATTTCCACCTGATGAGATCATCAAACAAGTTCCAAAACCGGAAGTGGGGTGCAGTGTTTTCGAGGCGGGCAACGCCAAATTTCAATTTGCCCCAGTAATCAGGTTGACCAAACTCCACTTCAATACGAATCACGGTCCACCTTGAGATTGCGCGTTACAATCCAATCACACAACGAGCGTTGCAGAATGGCCCTCCCGATCTTAAGGCTTTCAGTATCTAGGTTGGTAGGGAAGATGGAACAAGAGCTTGGTTTCTTTAGTCAGTCCTCATTGTGTAGTTTCAAACGTAATGAAATTATGCTTCTACCAGCCCTTGATGGTTTATTCTACATGAGTTCAAGTAGCACTGAGCGTCTGTTAAAGGATGGGTGAGTAGTACTAATCGGATGCTCTTTGTGCAATGCTTGCTGGTGTACCAAATCTTCCGACTTCCAAGAAGTCCCGGATGCCATTCAATCAGTAAAGGCGAATTTTTAGCGCGCGCCGAAACGCACGAACAAAGTCAGGTTACCGGTTCTGTTATCCGCAGACTTACTGGTTGGGGCACAGAGTTGGACACAGGCTACAACGAAGTTGAGCGCTGCAGAGCACAGTGCTTTGATTATCGATCGCATCTGGTTCAGAATGAGAGTAGCCAGTGGATGCGATCAGTGGGGTGAAGGTTGGATCCATGGAGGCATTCAACAGACGCCTCAAATTGGGCTGCAGCTGTCACACAATGATTAGCAATTGGGGTTCTTTGAATGGTGGCAGAAAGTTTGTTAGCCACTAGAAGACGTAAGAGGCTTGTGCGGGCGAATTTGGGCGACAACCAAATCTAAATGGTGTGCAGGTGATAATTTAAGCAGATATCTACCGAAAATCCGGTGAATCCAAACCCAGTGAGCGTATCGACATAGTAGAGAAGATCAAAAGTATGAAAATCCAGTGAGACAGGTGCTACTGAAGGCCTTTTTACTATAACACTCAGGTTTGGCTCGCGATGAAACTAGGGACTAAAAGTTGGGGAACTACGAGCTTAATGTAATTCAGTTATATAATCCAATTGGAATATCGGTTAGCAGGTAGATCCAGTTATTCTACCTACGCCGGCAGTACATTCATGGTGAATGCAAACGGTTTTCTGGACCACATGTGGTTAATCGGCCAGTGCGACCCTGTCCAAGCAAAGGACAGCTGTGTCACCAGGGGACAAGTGCGAAGCGTCCGGTCTAATCGAGCATGAGTATGGATGGAAGAGTCACCACATCTAATCCCGAAGGCGCTAAAGTAACCGTAAACAAACGAGATAACACAGAGCGTACGCGCTAACAACCTTAGAAACAAATCAAACTCTTTTTCAGCAGATAGGAAGCATCAGCTTCGATGTTCGAAACACTTTGGAACCGACAGTGAGGAAAAATTAAGACGCCTGACAGCAGACCGACAAGCTTCGACCATCCATCATATAGCTCGCGCAAGAGAGGAGTGGACAAAAGATAAATGGATCGAACTGCAACTCCCGCAGTTTGTCGCGGTTAGATAGACGGTTTCATTCAGTTACCGTGAAGATGAACACAAGGGTGAAAGTCTAAGTCCAATATTTTTAAAGCATTATGAAAATATAAACAGAAGTTTAAACATGCACGTCAATTTATATTTCAGTGCCTGGAGGAATCTTACTAATTACGACAACGATCAGTACCGTAGTACTGGCCACAATACAATGCAGACAGGTGCAGAAATTGAGGAGACGACACATTGACAACAGGGAGGATTACCTACTGGCCCCATCGTCCATCATTGCATCCGAAATGACCCCACCAACGAAGCACGTGGAGGCTGCAGGAAGGTTGGATATTTTGGCAGATTCCGCGTTTTACCGAGGCCAGGGACAGGCCTCAACCAGAGGAAGCCATAAGCAGGCAATAATACAAGATGGATATCAAAAACTGGCTAACGGTTTGCAGCCCAGCCTGAGAGCGTCGAAAGGCAGACCGAACACAACTATGAGAGGAAGTTCACTGTGGCCACAAAATATGGGAGGGTCCGTCAGGAGAACACAAAATCGCGGTAATCGTCCTGAAGAGATAAATTAACTACACACACAATGGTATTTGATTAAACAAACTGATCACCACAGTGTATTGTGTTTTATACGATGGGCACGGCTGCAAAGTCAAGCGCAATCACAACTATGTGATCACGACTGGATACTTGTGTGAGTATGGGGGAAATAATCATCAGCCGCGGGATAATCGATGAACAATTGGACTATAGTGTTGTTCGATAATCTCCGGCCTCTGAAGGAAGGATAGATAGTGGTTACTCTCAAGAGTGCAGGCCCGACAGGCGACTCCACAGAGACGTTCGTGTTACACCCAAGCGAAATCAGAACACCGGTATGGTATTAGGAAATCGTTAGTAGCAAGCGTGAAAAGGGTACACACTACTCAGCACTTAAAACTGTCTGCTACCATAGTCACATGAGCGCGAGGACGAGTTCCAGTTCGTAGTGAATCAATGGCGGACCCTGATTGGTTGTCACACAAACACGTACGCACATAGGTACACAAGCACCTAAGCAGCAGGCTTTTTGGCTAAATAGCAGTGGATGGACTTGGAACGACCAATGACCGTATCACTCCGGAGAGGTGTAGTTAATCAAGGGGGTAGAACAGTGAAACTAAAAGCGGGAGGAATGTTGACCGACGTTGTCCTGTGCTGCAAAACCATGAAGAAAGTTGTTGACCACAATTTGATCCATCAGCAAAAAGAGACCTGATGAATACGACTGCATCGACAAACTGCCATAGCCACGTGCCTGAAAAGCCATCACGTGGGTAACCGAGAAGGTTGGATGAGCTGTTGACTGAATTAGCTCAACAGTGATATTGGACATAATAAAGACAGACCGTTTTGATTCTGTTTCCGGAATCGTAACTGCGTCTGTTTGTCGAACAATCTGTCGGGGGATCCGTGGTACGAACCCACAGCTACTGTCCTAGTTAGATCGAACAAAAACTAGTCAGCCGCATTTTGATCATTACAAACGGTTGGCAGATAAAGTCGACTTTAACAAGCGTATTCTATCAATGCCGTAGACGCAATACGAGGTACGGATTCGACTCTAACACACAAGTAGAGCATAACACGAGCAAAAAGCAATCGTAAACCAACCGAAACGCAATAAGGATAGGGTGAATCGATATTGTGAAAGAAAATAAGTCCAACAAGGAGTGAAAGAAAACCGGGGTAAAAACAAAATGAAAAGGAATTGGCAACATGGTGACCAGAAGGGACTTCAACCACAAGTTTAAACTCATGGGAAGTTTCAACCAGGGAGCCCAAGTGAAGTGAGAAGCTTTGCGATATGTCGTTGGTAGTAAACTATATTACAGACAATTTACAGGATCGAGGAAGCATGGGATGTGAAATTATCTGATTTCCACCGCTGATTTCGTCAGCTCCCTGATAGCCATTGTTGCATAACTTGACTTGGGGAGAGTGAACCGCAACACAAGTGCGCGATGTGGATGAGCTAAAAGGAAACAAAACTGCAACTAGACGAAAAGGGTCACACGAAACAAAATCATAGCAGCACACGTAACCGCACACGGGTAGCCGAACACCTAAGAAGGAGCAATGCAACTATTGGGCAGTTAAATTGAGAGAGCTCATATAAGCAGCATAAAGTCGGACTCAAGTTGGTTATTTTAGCCACCACCAGCGCATGAATGCCTGCTGGTTCTTGTTTACAACTCGATTACGAGCAACGATGACCGATAGAGACAAAGAATATCAATGGAAGAAAGGCAGGGGCTGGACGCTAAGCGTGTGCAATAAGACAAGAACAACAACAACAACAACAACAACAACAGCAGCAGCAGCAGCAGCAGCAGCAGCAGCAGCAGCAGTACATTAGCCATTTAAACTGACGCATCGCTGTCATACAAACATGATGACTTATGGAATAAAGAATAATAAAAGGGAGAGAAAGGGGAATTACCGGAAAACGTTAACGCCCTAAGCAAACAGTTAGGGTCAAAGCGTCTACATCTTATGTCAACAACATACCGTCACAAACAGTTGGCTGTCGTGCAAAAGTTAAAGCCACATCAGCGAGACAGCTTCCTTGCGGCTTTAACTGCCCTGTGTCATAATCAGCCAATACTCCGTAGATAACGCAGCACCAAACCCAGTTTAAACATGCAGTCCGACTAGGAGATGGCAACAGACGCGTCACTGGTGTCGGCTGCGAGCCAAGCACAAGGCGAGTCATGTGGACTCCAGCCCGGAAGGTGAGACAGACCCACGGTGCCCAGTTTGGTGCCCTTGATAAGTCAAGTTTTGTCCACCGCGAGCCTTACGCCACCCAATACCTAGCAGACAAAACAACGACCTCCTAGGCAAACGGTAACTAAGTATGCATAGTACGTGCCAAAGCCGACACAACTTATTCAGTGCTATCTGTTGTTCTAAGGAACTAGCATGATTATCACTGCCTAGCACTCACCTACGCAGATAATCGTTGGGGAGACGTTTGTGCCACCAGACACTAGCAATGCAACGCAGATAACGATGGCCAAAAACTTGAAAGCGCCTCAGATCAGCAAACCGAAGGGGCCAAGTCTCACTCCCATAGAGTGGGACGGCCCTCAATGTGGGCTTGTAAACACGGCCTTTCAGATGCAGGGAAACTCCCTTCTGTCGTCAAAAATGCTGCAGGTTCAAGAAGGTAGTACTGGCTTTTGCAATGAGTGAACTGAATTTAGTTTCTGTGCGCTCATCGTTGCTAATGTAGCTGCCAAGTGAATCGATCAACCACCTCGAGTTCCCGTTATCAAGGGTTCATTCAGTGGCTGGTGGTCCTGTAGCAATACTTAGCATATGGAAGGTGCGAAGCGCATACCAAATAACGGGATAACTCCAGAGGTGTTATTCAGGGTTAATTGTGCCGACATAAGATCGTCAAAAAGCAAGATGATATCGTCCGCATAATCAAGATCAACTAACCTTTCACCAGATAGGACCTCAACGCCTACATCGTGAGATTCCACAAGGCAAAACTCCATGATGGTGTCCACGACGAGATTAAAAAAATCGGGGAAATCGGACAACCCTAATGAACCCCACTTGTTATCGGAAAGCTATCCGGCAGGTCGCCGTAGACCCTGAATAGTGAATACTGGTTCGAAGCAGCGAGTAGAGCTTTCTCTGTGTAGCTGAATCATTCGTCGCTCATGGACATATACTCGTTATGTTCTGTTCCGCTCTGTATATTTTGCCTCTGCAAAGTGTTTGTCAAGGAGCTTCTTAAATTCGGACACTGAGTTCGCCTCTACTATGTGCTGCGGCAGACCGTTCCATACATTCACCACTCTGCGTTCGAAACAGAGTTGATGGGCGACCCGCTTCAACTCCGGTACGAGAAGTTTATACCGGTGTCCTCGAGTGCAGCTTCGTGTACGCAGATGGAGCAGTTGTCTCAACATGGTGTAATCACTCTGATGTAATATCCAGTGCGTCATGATGAGGTCAACCCTCAGCCGACGATAAGCTAGGGTGTACAGCCCTAGTTTCTTACATCAGTCTTCGTATGGCATACCTCGTAAGTTGGGAATCAGCCTGGTGGCTACATGCTGCACCCGTTCAAGCTTTTCTGCCTCGCCCAGGGTGATGGGACAATACGCCGGAGAGCCGTACTCTAGCATTAGTCGTATTATCGAGACGAAGAGGCGAGTGGCAATCTCTTCGGACCAAGTGCTGAAGCTGCGCCTGAGGGCCCAAAGCATCCGAGGGCTGTTTTGGTACAGCCTATTCGTGTTGTCAATGGACTTTAGGTCGCAGCGTGAGAGTACACCGAGGTCGCGCACGAAAGGCGAGGTATGCAACGGTTGACCAGCCACTGTGTAGGTTCGACTGTGCTCACACTTACCTAGCCCCACGAATTGCGACTTGGCAGGGTTGATCGGAAGGTTGACATCTGTAGACCACGTTGAGAGGCGGTCCAGGTCCTGCTGAAGTAAATCACAATCATTGAGTGTGCGGATTATTCTCCACACCTTCAAGTCATCTACGAACAACGTAACCTGTAGTGTCCCAGTGTAGAGCACGTAAGATATACACATATATCACAGAAACACGTTTCCGCGCAGGCATTTCGAACAGAATGCATCGACCTAGTGAAAAGAACGCACTCCTAAGGGCCAGGAACATAGATATCGTCGGTCTGCGGTATGCTCGGCGCCACTCGAGCACCTGCCGCAGCGTGAATACGTGGTCCATATACTCAAAACAGAGCGGAAACCGGTCTACTTTACTCTAATACGAGATTCCCGTTCCGCAGTGAGACAACGATCGAGAATCGAGGCAAATAACTTTGTCACAACTGGCGTTAGGCTAATACCCCTGTGGTTAGCACGGTCTGCACGACTGCGCTTCTTGTATATTCCCACTATAATCAATTCACTCCAGTTAGGCGGAACATTCCCTTTCTTCCATATGTGTTCGAATAAGGAGGTCAGTGCTTTGCAGAGGACCTCATCTCCATCCTTACAGGTGGGAGGGAATCTGGGCCAGCGGCACGAAAACGATTGAGGACTGTGATCGAGTTTCGGACATCCACCTTCGATGAATCCACTAAAGCAACCGTCCATGGCTCGTCCTGTATCACCTGAGTACGAAGAGGTCCGGGAGCAGAGGCCCAGCTGAATTGATCTTGAAAGTGTTCAGCCCAACGAGGCATCCGGCGCTCCTTATGGTGCATCAGTGCACCCGCGCTGTCTCTGATTGTTCACTGACGCTTAGTTTCCTGGGACCAGTGGTGTGGATCAGCTGGATGAGCATGCGGTAATTGCCTACTGCTCTTGCCTCTTCCATTTCCTCAGCCTGACTGGTCCACCAGGCTTCCTTGTCAGCACGCAGGCTCCGCTTCAGTTCGCGCCTAATAGTCCGCCACCTCACATTGTGCTTAGAGGCAGTCGGGAGTTTTCTTCTGGATTCCAACAGGTTCACCGACCTCTCGGATATCCAGTGACAGGTGCGGTGACAATTGATAGTGCCGAAAGCGCAGGAACCAACATCGTGAATGACGACCGTGATCCTATTCCACTGAAGCTCAGTGACATTAGAACAAGAGAGCAATGCTTCGGTACGCAGCGCATCCTAGTAGGTTTGCTTGATCTATGACTGAGATAACTCATCAGTTGCCAATAGAGGGTTGCGCTTGGTACGCCTTCCGGTCAAGTTCATGGACAAGCGACAGTGTACCAAAGCATGACCACAGTGGAAGCAGGTATTTCGGTACGAGCGACAATCCATGATGGAATCCCCACCACTTGTAACTTACGGCAACCTGATCTCTTTGGGTCCGTTATTAACCAGCTATAGGACGACACCAAATGGCGCTTCGGCGCCCACTGTGTCTAAAAGCGGGGCTACAAAGAAACAACTAGTGCTCCGCCCACAGTTGCACCAGACGCTCACCGTTGTCAGTTCGTTCAGTGTTAAGTCCATAATTAGCACCTAGCTGAGCTTCTGAAACGCCCCGGCGACTTACTTGTGTGTTCATATCGCCTGCAAGTATTATGATAGCCGAAATAGTAGAACTGCGTAGTACCGTGTGCAGTTGGTGGTAGCAGGCGTCATTGGCATCAGAACTGCAGTCGGTGGGGCATAAGCTGTAAGCACCAACAAACAGCGTCTAATACTGCTTCGTGAGTCAATCTTAGTTGATGTCATCAAATGGCTGTTCAAGGGAATCCAATCAGCCAACAATGACTCAGCGTTGCAGCTGAGAGATACCTACTCCAGCTTGATCCGTTAGTGCTGCACCAGCGTCTCCGGATACGTGCAACCAATAGCGAGAGGACAAGCCGGGCGCGGTTAATTCAACAACCCCAGTAGGGTCGTTGCTTCTAGTTTAGGACACGCAACGCACAATACCCAGTGTGTCCAACGTGCGTGTAAGTGCAGCCTGTTGACCTATTTGTCTTAGAGTGGAACATTGAACGCCGCCAGGGAAACGGGATAGCGTGGTTTTATAAGGGGCTGTTGCCGATGAGCGTCCGGTGGGTGTTGCGAGAAGGTGGCTGCAGATGAATCCACTCCAGTGGCACTTCGGTTGCTGTCAATTAAGCTGGGAATTGTAGAAGAAAGATTAGTACTGGGGGTCGAGGTGGGAGTAAGAGAAACAGATGGAAAAGTAAGAAGGGAGGCGCCAGCAGTAGCATATTTTCGCTTATTCGCCCGGCTGTATATAGCAGATAAGGTGACCCTTGATAATCTGCGCGACGGCCTATGCAGGATGTAGTTATAGTTTGGGAAAATTGTCATGGTTATTTGTGGGCTGAGATACTGCCATGGCGCCCAGACCTAGACAAGAGGACGAGCAGGCCTTAGGCTCAAAAGCCTGTCCGCAAGGCAGCGGGGAGGCAGCAATGATTTATTTCTACAGAGATGGAGGTCATACCATTTCAAACCCTAACCTGGAAGACCAGGAGACTGAGTCTGTGTGAACACTAACCATTGACCAAGCTGGTAGGAGTAGCTCATAAGAGGCCCCGGGGCACCACTCAGTATAGCTCAATGAGTCGACGAGGTACGTAAACAGTCGCACGAAGTTAAGGTTCAGTCTCGTGGCGATAAGAGAGAAAACACAATAGTTAGCACCCGACAAGCGTAGTTTTCCAACGAATAAGCAATCGCGATCGATGTGCGGAACACGAGTGAACATGCACAAATCTTAAGGCTAGATGTTTGAAAAAACCTGGGTTGAAACACGGTCGGTGCGATTTGGTGTGACTGGTTACGCTCCATCTTGACAACGGCAACGGCGGTGAGCGAACGTATGACGTGCGGAGACGAGTTTGGTCACCTTCAGGGAGATTCCCAAAATCCCAGGCGACTGTGCGTTCACATGACCCCAGTCTGTGTGATCGTGTCACTTTGACCGAACCCAATAATTCCGTGTCACGAGTCAGGCTGTTGATGGTAATCCAGCCAAACAATGAAGCATTGGAATCGGGAGCAAAAGGATTACCTATTCTAGTTGAGCAGTAAGCCGAGAAATTTCTATCACCAGATGAGAGTGCTGGGGAGACAATACGAACCGTAGATTGGAGGATGCAATGCGAGGACGGAGTTGACATCTTCGGAAAATAGCTTACGACGCGCAGCCAAGGCGGCTAGGGTTAGAACGAGAAACATCCGACAGTCAATTTGTGTAGAAGCCGGTGACTCAGAGAACACCGGTCCAGATTGAATCGTGCTGAGCCACATTCTGTACCTATACTGCGAAGTGTCATCTTTTCAATGTAAACACATTGGAACTTAACATTCGGGACTGAGATGAACTTTTAATCCGGTATGCAGATTAGTGAGGAAATAACCAAGTATAAGGAGATGGGGATGGTTGATTAAGACTTTCGGGGATGAAGAGAAGACGAAAAATGAGCATACAACGTGGTGCGCTTAAATTAGCCGTTGCCTTTTCATTGGAACATTGTTTTTACATTATATACCGCGGATTCAACAGTTTTCACCAAAAATCGTTGACATTTGCTTCGGCCACACTAGCTTAAGGTCACAAGCGCTGTACTGTGTTTACTTTTTGTGATAGTGCGCGTGCTACGCGAAAAGTTATTGGAAGGCGCTTTCAGAACTTAGATAATCATCGTCTCGGTCGAAGAAACTGGGTTCCGCCTCTGTATCTACAACGGGAAGCAAATACCAATGATTCACTTCATCAACTGAAATTATTACCTGCATATACGAAACTGTTTGTTCGGGTGACACCTGTGCAACCCATGCCATTTTTCCACGAATATAATTTGTATTTTATTGTTGTTATTTTAGCCCATCCGTGGCAGAGAGTGTTAAATACTGATTTGACTTAAAGAGAATCAAGGCCCCAAGGTACCCTGAAAGATGTAGAAAATACAATGTTGTTGATTTCTCCCTTCGGCCGCGTCCAAATGCCTGCGGGAACAGGTTCATAGTGTGGCACGGGTAAAGTGCCAGCAGATTGTCTAAACGGCGTGTGCGAAACAGACTACCAATAAATGTGCCACTCAAACGTCGAGGCCGGTCGGATGGAAGACTGAGCTCGACAGTTCATTGAGTAAATTGGTAAGGTGAGCTGGAAGGTGACAAGTTGCATCACAGGTACAGCCCAATGGATAATAGTGAAACTTAAAGTGACGATTAACATGATGGTTCAGTCATGTCAGGGTGGGTGTGAACGGAAAATCAGGAAATTGCTTAAAAGCGAGGCACTGGCTGAGCCAGTGTGTCAGGGGAAGTTGTCGACCTTCCAGCTAGCTAGGGAATAGTTTGTCCAGAATAGGGAGTCTTATTTGGAGTCAGGGGGCGAACACAATCATTGGGGCGCTGTTGAGATTAACACTGAAACCTAACAGAGCCTCTATAAGCCCCGAGTATTGAGCGCAAGAATAGATCGCACTATCGATTATTTAGGGTAAAACCAGAAAAACCGACATTAAAAACTTATACAGAGTGACATACCTGAACAGGTGTCTACCTTGTCTATGACTGGATCTGAGGTAGAGGTTGCCTCGTTAAGTAACTGCAGATCGGACTTGACCAGTGGAATGTTCGGATCGGAATACGTAGAGAAGTGGTGAGATACATTTTTTGGTTTCACCAAAAGGGCGCGGTAAGAACCGGGGAGCGAAAAGTCTCTAGAAACGGACCAATCGTTTACGGGAAGAATTAGGATAATCAAATAAGTGTTTGTACAAAGAGGATCACCAAATGGGTGTAACAAAAGATAGTTATACCGGTTACAGGAGTGGGGAACATTGGCGAACATTAGTAGCGAAGAGAACAGTGAATTGGAATACTAAAATGAGAAATGACAAAGCGCAAATCGAATTGGAAACAAAGGATGCGCACACAAAAGGCATCAGCAATACGCCAGTACGTAGTAACAACGCTTCGCTGCCGTGCAACCACCATCAGTCGTGGGTGGGCTAAGGAGACTGCGAAGGTCGCCCGGTCCCTTGCACAGGTTCGAACTCGCACCGTCAGATTACAAGACAAGCTTGTTACCTTATGGCTACGAGCCGGCAGAAATCGATGGAGATGCTCTGACAAAGGTGAAAGCTGCACTGTAAAATCTTTTAAATGCAACACTCACTTTACACGATGGCGTAGATCATTTAATGTAAGTCCATCCTCGCCAAGCAATTCCGAGTACCAATCACCGACTGGATGAAAACCAATGGAAAAACAGAGGAGAAATACGACAAGCCGATCAAAAACATGAGATTTCAGTGTGAGGTTAAAATTATAAAAGATGGACACTTTTGGAACAGTGAAAGTAAGTTTGTGATTGGTAATAAACTGGACAACGTCATAGAGCAAACAAAGTCGACTGTCAAGTGAATGGTGTCTAGGCAGGTACCGGATAAGGAGATAGTCACAGGGCTGGGAGTGGTCACTGAGGAGCAAAGGTGCCCACTACAAACTTGTACTGCCGGCAATTTGTAGTTCCTGAAACATAACAGAGTGATTGACGCTTTCGGAAAATAACGGCTAACAAGTTGAACGAGACAATATATGTGTAGCCTATTAGATGGTCAATAGTGGCGTTCCCGGAGAGTAACAACAAAAACCACAGACGTAAAGCAAAACGAACACTGCAACATACATGCGGAGATGATGATGATGAGAAAAATGGATGTCGACTAGGATTGGGGTGTCGAAGTGCACTGAATTTAGTTTTCATTACCAACGTCGCCAAAAAAAGTTGTAACGTTAGAGAAAAAGAACATGGAGAATAAACACACACGAATACAAAAAAACTAAAGCGAAGGGGCATGACAAAAAGGTATAGTTGATGAATGGAGGAATATAAAGTAAGCGGCGACAGACCGGACACAAGCTGGAAAGAGTCTTGACCCTCAGTGTGACGGACGTCAAGAAGGTGGCGTGCACTGGTCCGTTCAAGTAGTTCGTGGAACACCTTCATATGTTTTTATCCCGTCACCCATTGGCCGACTTGAGACACGCATACAAAAGATGTCAGCCATGTAGGGGAATAGTTAAGCGATCAGAAAACACTTCGCAATAACAACAGACCATTAGAACCTTGTACTGATGCGAAGATGTCAACTAACCATAAAGACCGCATAAATGAGAAAATACAAAAGGGAACACCTTGTGCGATATCTAAATATACTGCGCGAACATTCAGAGTCAAGGTATTCATAAAGTGCAAATACCATATGATCACAAACAGCTGGCTATTGTGCGAAAATAAGATAGTATTGATGAGACAGCTTCGTTACGGCTTCCAATTCCTCCTGTCAAGAGCAACATTGGGGAACCGACAGCTTAGTGTTATAGAAACATAACCAGATAGTCCAATAGGGAAACAACAGCAAACCGGCCGCTAACCACATTTTTGAGTCAAGAATAGGATGGGTCACGTTCAACCATATGTAGCTATCTTCCCGCAACACACACTGGATGCCTATCGGCAACAGCCCCTTATAGGGCCACACTGTCGCGTTTCCCTGGCGGCGTTCAATGTTCTCATTCTAAGACAAATAGATCAACAGGCTGCACTCGCAAGCACGCTGGACACACTGGGTATTGAGGTGTGATGCGTATCCGAAAATAAGATCAATGGTCCTCACGAGGTTGTTGAACTACCTGGGTCCGGTTTGTCATCTCGCTATTGGTTGCACGTATCCGGAGACGCTGGTGGGAACCACTGGTCAAGCAGGGGCGAGCATCATTCTCAGCTCAAAGGCTTAGTCATCGTTGGTTGGTTGAACTCCTGTGAACAGTCGTTTGTGTGCAGCCCGTTTCAGAACAACAACAAAGGTTGATTCACAAAGTAGCACTGGAAGCTGTATGTTGGTGGTTTCCCCTTTTGTCCTCAATGACTGCAGTGCTGATGCTTCCAAAGACACCTACCGCAAACTGCACACGCTACTATGCAGTGTTACCCAGTTCAAAGATCACAATTCTTAAGGGGAATGAATGCGCAAGTAGGTCTTCTGAGCTCTTCAGCAGCTTAGCTAGGTGCTAATTATGGACTTAACACTGAACGAACTGACAACGGTGAGCATCTGGTGCAACTGTGGGCGGAGCACTAGTTGTTTCTTTGTAGCCCCGCTTTTAGACACAGTGGGCGCCGAAACGCCACTCGGCGCCGTCCTATAGCTGGTTAATAACGGACCCAAAGGGATCAGGTTGCCGTAAGTTACAAGTGGTGGAGTTCCATCATGGATTGTCGCTCGTACCGAAATACCTGCTTCCACTGTGGTCATGCTTTGGTACACTGTCGCTTGTCCATGAACTTAACCGGAAGGCGTACCAAGCGCAACCCTCTATTGGCAACTGATGAGTTATCTCAGTCATCGATCAAGCAAACCTACTAGGATGCGCTGCGTACCGAAGCATTGCTCTCTTGTCCTAATGTCACTGAGCTTCAGTGGAATAGGATCACGGTCGTCATTCACGATGTTGGTTCCTGCGCTTTCGGCACTATCAATTGTCACCGCACCTGTCACTGGATATCCGAGAGGTCGGTGAACCTGTTGGAATCCAGAAGGAAACTCCCGGCTGCCTCTAAGCACAATGTGACATGGCGGACTATTAGACGCGAACTGAAGCGGAGCCTGCGTGCTGACAAGGAAGCCTGGTGGACCAGTCAGGCTGAGGAAATGGAAGAGGCAAGAGCAGTAGGCAATTACCGCGTGGTCATCCAGCTGATCCACACCACCGGTCCCAGGAAACTAAGCGTCAGTGGACAATCAGAGACAGCGCGGGTGCACTGATGCACCATAAGGAGCGCCGGATGCCTCGTTGGGCTGAACACTTTCAAGATCAATTCAGCTGGGCCTCTGCTCCCGGACCTCTTCGTACTCAGGTGATACAGGACGAGCCATGGACGGTTGCTTTAGTGGATTCATCGAAGGTGGATGTCCGAAACTCGATCACAGTCCTCAATCGTTTTCGTGCCGCTGGCCCAGATTCCCTCCCACCTGTAAGGATGGAGGTGAGGTCCTCTGCAAAGCACTGACCTCCTTATTCGAACACATATGGAAGAAAGGGAATGTTCCGCCTAACTGGAGTGAATTGATTATAGTGGGAATATACAAGAAGCGCAGTCGTGCAGACCGTGCCAACCACAGGGGTATTAGCCTAACGCCAGTTGTGACAAAGTTATTTGCCTCGATTCTCGATCGTTGTCTCACTGCGGAAAGGGAATCTCGTATTAGGGAAGAACAGGCAGGTTTCCCCAAAGGACGGGGCTGTATAGAAAACATCTTTATTTTGCGACAGGTGCTACAGCAACGCCACGCGTGGCAGACCGACGATAGCTGTGTTCTTCGACTGCGAGAGTGCATTCGACCCAGTCGATCGCTGCATTCCGTTCGAAATACTTGCGCGGAAAGGTGTTTCCATGAAATGTGGGGACATTTTACGTACTCTTGCTCGAACACCACAGGTTGCGTCAGGGTGCATGGCGACCTGTCGGATAGCTTTCCGACAACAAGTGGCATTCGTTAGGGTTGTCCGATTTCTCCGTTTTTGTTCAATTTCATTGTTGACTCCATCATGGAGTTTTTGCTTGTGGAATCTCACGATGCAAGAGTTCAGGTGCTGCTTGGTGAAAGTTCTGTTGATGTCGATTATGCGGAAGATATTGTTTTTCTTTTTAACGATGTTGGGGCGGCCAGTTAACCTTGAACAAACTCTCCAGAGTGGTCTTATCATTTGGCATGCGCTTCGCAAAGTTTTGTTACAGGATCATCAGCCAGCTGAAGACTCCTTGAGCCTTGATATCGAAGAACTCTAGGTAGTTGATCATTTCATTCACCTCGGGCACATAAGCACTGAAGTCACTACACGTAATGCGAAACCTAGAACTGCCTTCTTGAATGTGCGACATCTTTGGCGACATAAAGGGGTTTCCCTCGGTCTGAAAGGGCGTGTTTACAAAGCCACACTGAGGGCCGCCCTACTCTATGCGAGTGAGACTTGGTTTCTTAGAACTGAGGACCTGCGATACTTTCAAGTTGTTGATTATCGTTATCAGCGGAGCATTGCTGGTGTCAGATGGCACCAGCGTATCCATAAGGATGATGTGCGTAAGCGAGTGCTAGACAGTGATAATTATGAGTTCCCTAAAACAATAAATAGCACTGAATAAGCTGCGTTCGCTTGGGCACGTATTACGTATGCTCGGTCCCCCCTTACCGAGGAGCGCTTTGTTTTGTTTGGCAGATGTAGGGTGTCGCAAAGCTCGAGGTGGACTAAAGTTGACTTGGCAGCGGGAAATGAAGTCAAGGACGAGCAAACTCGGTGCCTTTGATCCGTCTCGTCTTTCAGGCTGGAGTCCACTTGGTTCGAGAACTTACAGGACATGGCTGTCAGTCTGCACTAGTGGGGTGTTTACTGTCGTCTTCTAGCCGGAGTGTCTGCTTAGTGTTTGGTGCTGAGTTATCTGTGGTGTAATGGCTGATTATGACGCGGGGCAGTGAAAGCTGAAAGGAAGCTGTCTCGCTTATGCCGTCTTAACTCTGCACGATAGCCAACTGTTTGTGACGGTATGTTGTTGACACAAGGTGTAGGTGCCTTGACCCTGAATGTTTGTTTAAGGCATTACGATTTTGCGCTAGGTGCCCCATCTCTCCATCTTATTGTTCTTCGTTCCGTAGGCCACCATAGTTATACAGCAGCAAATCATCAGTTCGAATGCTAGAGGTACTGCACACTTAAACAGCCAGCACACTAGAGAAACCGGAACGGGAGCGCAGAAACGGTTAAGGAGTGAAAGCAAGTTTCGAACATCGCCCTCAGATGGGTCCTCTAAACTAACCGACCATCGCTCAACCTACATCATTTGAGGCCGTAGCGGTTCAGAAGCATTACGCCTACTGAACTGTTCTCGAGAGTGATTCGCTCAATGAACTAAACGACGGTCCTTGTTGTGAATCGGAGTGGAAATTTCGCTGGAAGATGTGATCACAAAGAGACTAGGAGATGACGAAATGAGATGACCTTAACTCATTCCATTCGTTGCGGCGAAAGTATTGGCGTACTGGAGACCCTTGCACCACTAAGGCAGTAGGAAAAGTGCAACATTAGAAGGACTTCGCCATAGAAGTTCTTTGCACTAAAGAAGGCAGCCAAATCAGAGGTGGGCAACTACACTGATACGACATTGTTGGGATGAATGAGGGACTGAGATATAGCCATTAAAGAACAAGACTAACTTGGGTCTAACAACATTTTACAGTGGATCGCCGAAGTAGGATGTCTGTAGGGGGTTATACGAATTCTTCCAGAAATCGAGGCAACGGGCCACAACCACCAGGCTGCGAATACCCCACGAACGATGTGTAAAAAAGGAGGACGAGTGAATTTACCAGAATTAAGGGCCGAGTTGTTTAAGCAGTGACGGAGTAGGTATCCAATATCACACAAGCGGGACTGCTTTGATAACACCTTTAGAGTGGAATCTAAGCAACGCGCACAGTGCGACATTTAATTGTGATGGTGCAACTACCACTATGTCATCCAGGGCTTCAGCAATAAGCTGGATGAAAGCATACTAACTGCGCCGGAAATGCAACCTTTGTATGTAAGCAGACTGTCGTCCAGACGTGACTGATCGCGAATGTGTCGTGTTGGAAGAGATTTCCAGATGATGTAGTGACGAATTGACGGAGGTTGGTTAAGGACACAACTTCACAAAGCGTGTGTTTGGGAGTTGCTGTGCTCTGACTCATTTCTGTTACTTGTTGGTTCTTTTTCAGTTAGCATTCGTTTGTGTCTATCTCCCGCATTTGTCCCCGTACCGAGAACATTAGTAAGGTGGGGGCACGGTAACTCGAGACATTGCGTTCTGGCTGTTTGAGCATAGTCCACGTATCGATATGAACCGATTCGGGAGATATGTGCCCTTGTAAAATGGAATAAAGGAAGTACACGGCCGATGCAAGACTGAACGCTGGTGAACGACTGCAAATAACCAAACATGTGAAAGGTACGATCGAATCGGGTCTGGTATTGATGAGAATACACAACACAGCAGAAAAAGTAGCACAAGGTTCTCACCTTCGTTTGAAGGGTAGCGGACATCAAAACCTGGAAGCGGAAGCACCACACTTGTCAGAGGGATTTGGTCGCAGTTCTCGATAGTGGCCACTTCGGGGCTCGGTAATGTTGATCGACTGTTACGTGGGTGGGAGTCACATTTCACTGGATTGTCTGTCAGGGCTTTGGAAGAAATGGAGAATGAGCAGCTTAATAAAAAACAAAAACGGTGATTACCCCGACCAAGGTAAGAGATAAAAATAGTGTGACGGACGAATCGGTAAAGCCAGATTAATCTAGTACAACACCTTATAAAATAGACTCAAAAATGTTCCGAAGACTGCAACGCAATTGCAATCCTACATCGACACGAAAAAGTTACAAGTGAGTGAGTAATCCGACGTGTCAAACAAGAGAGAACGGTTCATACCTCAGACAAAACTGAACGGAAGTATTGGCTGCCCGAAACAAATCGGACACTAAGAAGTATTAGCTGCTAAAGGTCTGTATCGGCGGTTTACTCACGCCTCAATCCAAAATTCACAGCAGATCGCGTTGTAATAATCTAACGATCTATCGGGGAAAACGGGTGAGTGAGTATAGAGTTGAGAAGTGTGCCCCGTTAATCGATGTAGGTAGACGCATTTCGCTCACCGACGACTTCAGATGCTGATAAATCCCCACTTTCTGATATCATTTTCGAACCAAACCAAACTGGTATAGCTGCTATCGCGGCCGGACGTCAAGAACTGTGCGGAAGCATGTCATATGCAGCGCCAAACAATCAGCAATTTAGTCGTGGCAATTAACTATTCAAAACCACGCGATGAGGGCCATTCATCAAAAAACACGTGAGCACTGCCGACAAACAAGAAATCTGAGTTCGATCATATGCGACTTACCACTAGAAATGACAAAAGTTTCATGCATCGAAATTTGGGAAACCAATCAACAAAACCGGGTTACGAAGAACGGCGTGACTGTATGCAATACACACAAGCAATCGCCTAGTTATGAGTGTTTTCTGCTAGCGGAATCAAATGCGACGCACTCATTCTATTTTTAGATTGGTTTCTCCCCCAACCAAAGAATGCCAGCATAGGGAGCCGATAAGCACACAGCCAAAGAATACGAGACATAATGTAGACAAGCAGTAACAGACCGTATCATCAAAACCCGGCGGCAGCCCAATCGGATCCAGTCAACGAAATATGATCAACGATGGTTAAACACTTGTTCAGTGAGTCGAGCGTATGGTGTTTAGGGCTCCGAAGCGATGATAGAGAAGGTCCGCAGTGAGAAGTTGTGTATCGCATTCAAATGTCACCTGGGTGTCTGGCGTCATCGATGACAAATTTCGACGATAAAGAAGTTGATGGAAGTTATGTATACGATCTACTTGAAAACGGAGAATGCAATCGACTTTGCATTTACAATCAAACTAGGTTGAAAAACTGTGTAAATTACGTAGGGCGACGATCTCGTTCATCATCGGCACCCGATCAATAGATAGTTCATTCCGATCTAAAGTAGATGGTCGTCACGCAGTGCGATGCAACCCAGTATTGTAAAAGATGATCCACAAAGAAAACACGGAAGCGTTCACTGAGGTATGTTATGACGATACTACATCTTGATCGCGCAGAAAACGTGACAAATAGGGAACAACTGACGTACCGTAAGCGCGTGTGCGGGCATAAATGGCTTTGTACGTTTGTCTGATCGAAGAAGTCGAGATACGTTCCGACAATGCACAATGGGGAGGGTTACTGGCATCTGTGAATATCTTAGAAGCCAGTTTTTCATAGGAGCGAACAAGGATGTTAATAAACACTAGCAGAGAAATTCCACTATATCGAGCAAGATGCTTCAGCGACCTGTTGATGGCTTCGAATTGCTCGTTTAGGAGTCCGAGAAATGTCACAGATGAGCAATACCTCCAGTGCGGTATTACGCAAGCGGTGACAAAGCGTAGAATCAAGCAACGAGGCACGGATGATGATCTAAGTTGGGCGACGTAGAACGTTAGTCTCCTGACTTTAGTGAATGCTTCATTCACGTGAAGCGACTACATGAGACCTCGACTAAGTGTAACTCCGAGATAATTCACTACTGTAAAGAAGCTTAGACTGACACTGTCAATACTAAGAAGCGGGGTGTGCGTCAGGAGCTGTTGGTAACAGTTTTCATTGGACAGCGAGAAAAGAACACCTTTACACTTTGATGCGTTGAGTGAAAGACAGCGAGATTTGGACCAGGAAGTGAGGTTGTCCAGAAAGCATTACAAGTTGTCCAGTGAATCAGCGGTGTGATTGTGTACACCAAGGATCACGTCATCAGCATACTTTAATAGGATGGCTTACATTAGGAGCGAGAATGTTTATTATAGGTAGAAAATAGGGATGGGGACAAAATAGCTACCTGAAGAACACCTGCATTTGTGCTAAGTGAGGAAGAGTTTTTCCCCCAATCATGGCAAACTGCATAAAGTAAACTGCATAAAAAAAGATACTACTGAAAGTTGAACTCCGGAAACTAGCAGATCGTGTAACAGCGGCTCGCGGTCTACACAACCGAAAGCATTATTGTAATCAAGGAAGCAGCTCCGTGTGGACTTGTTTTTTCTATCGAGTGATGAAAGCACGCACTGTACAAGACAGGCTAATGCATCCAAACTAGACCTTGAACTGCAATAAGCGAACTGAAAAGGATCATTCGAGTGGGTTTGGACAAACAATCTATCAAGTATGATTCGTTCTAATGTGTTCAAAGTCACAGAAGTACAAGCAATCGGCCGGTACTTACAGGTTCCTTTTTTGTCACAGGTGTAGTGCGAGCGCTTCGCCAGCAGTCGGCTACTTTGTGTTAATGTAGGCACGTGGTGTAGAGTTCAGATAAAGGCTGTGCTAAGACACTGACACATTCCTTAAGGGTTATAGGAGATAGTTCATCTGGTCCAGGCGCTCTGAACGACTGTATGCATGTTAATTCCTTGTAAACTGTAACACTATCGATGGGTGGTGAAGTTTGTGGGAAGAGTGGCAACGGTAAAGATGGTAAATGAAAAGCTGTATTATTTAGATGAAGTTGCGGTTTAATTCCTCCACACCGAGAGCAGTGTGTGTGCGTGACATTTCTGACGACTCCACTCTGGTTCATTATCATTTTCCAGATTCCTCGGCAATTATTCTTTCCAAGTATAGTTTGGATATATATATATATATATATATGGTTGAGGCGGCTCACTTCATTCTTATATCAGTGGATAAGAATTTTACTGAAGCGGCGACTTCGCGCTAGCAAGCTTTTTCTTCGAGTCCGCGCAATCTTTTAAGACACGGAGATGAAAATCTATCTGCGTGTTTGTTGTAGCTGAATATCCACTCTTCATGGGTGCATAAAGCACATTGTTGATTTGACTTGAATAAGAAAGAGTAGTACAGTCCACGAAGGTAGCGAAACCTGAACAATGTACGGTGAGTTTAAACGGGTTAAGAATGTTTTAAAAGCCCCGTTGGGTGGCCTGGTGTATTGTCGAAAAACGTTAATGAAAAAAGGCAGTTCGTACTATTAGTGTCAAAAGAATGCAAGTATCGTTCTTAATGGAGAAGCCGGGAATTACACAGAAGTTCACAGCTTCATTCGGCCACAAACAATGAATGCAAGGTATTTCTCGGGCGCAGGACGTATAGGGCTAGGTAACAAAATGTGAGTTGCTACAGAAGCGACTGGTTCGGTGAGAGTGTTCCACGGGTGACGTAAAGGAACAAAAAAGAGTTTTCTACCACACTCCAAGCGACCGTACTGCCAGGTACCTCAAACTTTGCGCTGCAGGGAAGAGAGGTTAAAATGATTTAGACTGTGTAAAATCAAGTATGGCATTATCGAATCGCCTCATAGTCAGTGATGTGGTCCGCTGAATATCCCCAAATGTTTCAGCCTTTGCTCGCATGAGAGATTACGCATTCCAATGACGTAGTTGAAATCTCGACGTTGAGGCTGGCCCAGCCATGGTTGCCACTCTTAAACTGTGTATTCCACATGGGGGCAAACATACGCACTGAGCATCTGTCTGAAAATAGAGATATCTATTTGTCCGAATGCTTATCGCAATAGACCGAAGTGCTGATTACCAGTTTTCGATGCCTTTTCGGATTGCCGGGAAAAACCCACGTTATTCTGAATCAGCACACCCAGATCACGTTCGATGTAGGAACGCTGCATTACTTGTGTTTCTAGCATGTATGATTAGATAACCTGATGTCGTATGGGGAGTACCCTGCATTTGCTCAAGTTGAACTGCAACAAATTATGGGTTGACCACTGATGTACCATGTCTAGATCAGACTGAAGCAAATACTAATCAGCATCCACCTGAATCCTGCAGCATATCTTGATGTCGTCAGCAAACAGTAGGAAACATGATGCGATTGCTTGCGCGAGGTTAGTAATAAATACCAAAAACAATGGTGGTCCTAGAACAGAGCCTTGAAGCACACGACATTGGACTTGTATAGAGTCAGATAAGGAGCTCCGGACTCTGACCACTAATTGCTGTTGAAGAAAATTGGCGGTTCAGCTCAAGAGAGAGTCACAGATCCCGTAATACTGGATCTGGAAAAGGAGATTATCTAGACGATCTAATACCTCCGGAAAATCCAAGTAAACCAGGTCAACATAATCTTCAGCGTCAGTTAATTCGATCCAGCTACTCTGTACGATAAATAAATTCGTAGTGCAGGATCGCTGTCGACAGAGGCCGTGTTGCTCGGGAGTAATAATGTTGCAATTTTTCAGACAGCATACCAACGCATCGGCAACGATGAATTCTAACTGTACAGGAAGAAGAGATACTGAACGGTAGTCCGAGGGCCCAGTCCTGCCTCCGCCTTCGTTAATCGGAGTTATTATTCTAAGCTCCTAGATGTCGAGAACCTGGTTCTGGCCTAATCAGCACTGAAAGAATTGAGCCAAAGATTCCGTCAGTTTTCTTGATGCTGCTCTCAGACGAATGATATCGACACCATAGAGAGATGTAACTGCGCAGACAGGTCAGATATTGCAAAGACAGCTTCTGCGGTAGAGATGTAGTTCAGGCACGGCGACGGGTCAACATAAGCTAAAAGATCGCCCGGTGACAAAACCCTCTGAAATGTGGGTGGGCATATTGCGTCCGCAACGCG